CCCCCCCCCCCCCCCCCCCAGACATAAACATATGTTGTTTATCGATGGTACAAGAGCAGTTGTTGGCAACCCACACCTCCATTGCAGCTCTTTGAAGGAATAGATAAAGCAGATTTGTAATTTGTACCTAATCTTTCATGAAATTTAAACAATCTGCTCCTGCCTGTGGCTGCCCAAATATTTCCTTATCTTAGCAGATCTAATTTATACAAGTATTTCCTCACACATGAAAGGTTGCTAACCCTTGGCCTATAGTTAAAAAGTGAAGCCATTATTATTTAATTGAAACAAAAATTCTAAAATTTTCAGGAGCTATGTCTGGACTGCTGTCTGCAGCCAGTGTTGACTGGGCAAATAAAATAAGATGTAATGTTGTTGATGGGCTGCGACAAAGTTTTCAGGATGGAATATTCACAGACATAGAAATTGAGGTTGGAATACTTTCTTTAGAATTTTTAACTTTATAAAAATTAAGTTCAATTATTTTATCCATTCTAATCTATGGCACAGCATTTGTTCTCGGTTAAATTTGATCTTAGACAAATAATCTATAAATCCAATAAATAGCACATGTGTAACAAAGTTGCTTCTTATTGTATTTATTCAGGTCAGTGATAGTGTATTTCGGTGCCATAAAGTTTTTTTGTGCGCCATTTCTGACTACTTTTTGGCCATGTTTACATCCGGAATGAGAGAGAGTGTTGACAGCCGTGTGACCATAAAGGATTTGTCTGGTTCAACTTTTAGAGCAGTCCTGGACTTTTACTATACTTGTGACAGGTAAACGACATGATTTGAAAACATACTTGGTTATCAACAATGACTCACTAGCATAAAACATTTAGGTAAAAATTCAATGATTTGATTCATTACCACCCAGTCCCCATTTGCTTTCTCATGCCCTTTCGATAGACATTACAGAGTAGTAAGGCTAAAGGTTTTATAAAATTTCAGTGCAGTTTTTTCTGGACGGTTGCTATGTCAATTGTCTTAAACAGCATTAAATTTATAATGTGTAAATGAAATATGAATTTAATATATTTAAATTATAATTTATTATGCCAATTCACAGAGTTTTTCAAACATCCAATCCAATATTTTGTTAAGCTTTAACCATGTCTGAAAGCTTGCATATGTTTTTATGGGTTATCTTGTCCTTTGCTCTTATCTCCATGTCTTTTAAGATAACATTTTCAAAGCCTGTTTAATAAACATCACCTAAGAATAACATTTTAGAAAAAGTAAATTAAGGAAAATAAAGGTCAACAGGCAATGGTCACTTTATTTCAATACAAACATTTAGAATAAAAATAATGGTCACTTTATATAAATAGAAAAATTTGGAATAAAAAATGGTCACTTTATTTAAATACAAACATTTAGAATAAAAATTATGGTCACTTAATTTAAATACAAACATTTGGAATAAAAACAATAGTCACTTTAAGTACAAGCATTTGGAATAAAACAACATTTTTTAAATAAGCACAAAAGCTTTGATAACTTCATTCAGTAGTAAATAAAACAAATGTACTCAGTCCATAAACTTTTTGTCATTCATGTATGTTTTTAGTCTACTGTTTGGGCTGTAAGATGTATATTCTGTTGGGGCTGTGTTGGTAATTCAGTTTTGGCTGTGTGTAGGTATACAATGGTCCCTTGTCTATCGCAGGGGTTAGGTTCTCATAGGTGAACATACATGTAGTAGTGACCTTAGATTTAATCTATTATTTATACATATTTAAGGTTTAATTATCCCTCCCACACTGTTATTAATCTTTCCCACACTCTTATAAACACTTCCAATGCACTTAAACCCTTTCTACACTCTTAAACCTACATAGTTTTAACAATTTAAAATTCAATATGAACACTCTATATACCACAAAATCCTGAAATATAGCGAAAAATCCACAATACACAATTAAATATATATACTTAAAAAATCAGCGACACAGTGAAACTGCAAAAAGTAAATCACAATATGGTGAGGGAGGACTGTTTACTGTTTGGGCTGTGTGTTGGTATATAAAGTTTTGGGCTGTAGGTGGTTACTTCCAAAATATTTCAGTGATTTCATCTATTGTGTGGTTGAAAAATGATCAATTTATATTGTGTTGTTTTATTAAAAAAGTCTATAGGTTTTTAATCTATGTCCTCAGGTCTGTTGTCAACACAGATACTGCTGAAGATCTTCTCAGAGCAGCTGGTTTGCTTCAGATGATCACTCTACAAGACAGCTGTGAAACTTACTATGCAGAAAACTTGAATGTAGACAATGCACTGGCCGTCTGGGATCTTGCACAATGTTTGCATTGTGAGGCTTTGGCTGACAAGGCAAAGCGTTTCATTTTAGCCAACTTCCTGGACATTTACACAGAGCCTGATTTCTTACAAGTCGATGCTGAACACCTGAATGAGCTGCTTGGAGATGATGATCTACGTGTGCCAGATGAAGACTATGTCTGTGAGGCTGCGGTCTCATGGCTAAAGCATGATATAGGAAACAGGGCAAAATATTTTAATGAAATCTGTGTAAATCTCAGGCTTAGATACCTATCAGAAGATTCATTTAGCAAGCTACTTATTTTTACTCGCAATGAATGTCATATTAAGGACAGCATTCTTGAAGGATTTACAGAGAACAGAAGATATTCATTCCCAGAATCCTCCAATACAGTAGCCTTAGATACACCTTTGTCCTCCAGGAACTACGAAAATATGCTTGTGGTTATAGGAGTTCATAGGGCCACTGGAATATTGCCTACAGTTCATGCATACAGTTTTAACACAAAGGTAATTCATTATAATCGCACTCAAATTAATAAACCATTTGATTTATGTAATGAAATCAACAAGTCAAATTACCAGATAAACATGTGTTGTCAAATAATATTGGCTATACTAAAGTACTTGTATACCAGTGTGGCAGGCCAGCCTATACCTCTGTCCAGATTAAGCCCAGGGTTAGACTGTCCTAGGCCAGAATAAACATTGAGGATTAAACTGGCCCAGGGAAAACTATGCCCATGGAATAAAATAGGGTAGGCCAGACTATATCCCCACAGACCAGACTAGGCTCCATACTATTCCTGGCACTAGTATACTGTTGAGCGGATGAACCACCCTGCTGATTTTTTTGATTTATGATTAACAATTTTTGACAGTTTGACAGGCTTTGACTAGTTTGTGAACACTTTTCTTCTTTCTCTTCCGGTAATAATGGTCAGAGATTTTGGCTAACGTTTTATCTCTGCCAAAATAGCTACCAGAAACCAAGTTGCCTTGACAGGCCTTCACGATATATTTGGCTGTCAGCTTTTATTGAAAACCTCCTTTTCCCCATGGTAAAGGATCTCTTAGTCTGCTCGAATAGTTTAGCTTTTTGTCTGAACTCGAACTTGGCATTTAAACACTTCTCTGGAGATATGTCGTAGATCTGCTGGGGGTTGTTTAGTTGTGTTTAAGAGTAGAATTGTAAAAGATGGTCATAAGTTGGTCTTCCGTGGCTCCGCCCTGGAGCTCTTGTCGGCATGTCCATTCCACTATGACATGTCGATGAAGAGGCGTTTCCACAGATCCCCGAACGCTATCCGGGGTACAAAATCACCTTGTAGGGGACCTGCGCGTGAGAGGCAAAGGTCTTTCATGGAATATGCCTTGGAAAGCGCACAGCTGCATGGTATCCACCAAATGCAGCAGTTGAAACTAGCGCAGAAAAAGGTTGGGATAGGATTACATTTTGCTGTTAAAGGATATCATGCAAGAGTGGATTTGGCAACACTTGCCCATGCAGCCTTAAAGGGGACTGCACCTAGGCAACCGTTTCATCCCAGCTACAATGTGACTTAGGCACAAAGTAGAAACCATGTGTAGAGTCCCTATGAGAGGGCGTCTGTCGCTAGCCCGGAGTGGGAGGGGGTGTTTTAGGGACATTAAATATACCATCCCAATCCCTAGAAAGTTCGACTGCAGGTGCTGTGAGAGCAGCATCACCAGCGGGCCAGGTGTTGTGAGAGCAGCACCACCAGCCGGCCAGGTGTTCCTACATCGGGGGTGCCTCGCCTGCATAGTCAATCGAGTGGAAGGCGGGTGGGGCTGTCTCAATGGCGGAATGCCCCTGCTCTGCCGCTTTGTGGCCCGACTGGAATAAAGACTCTGTTGAAGGCCAGTTGGGAGGGAGAGGGGTGCATTGAGAAAGACTTATTAAGCTCTGGCTCGATAGTTTGCTGTTTTTCTTAAGTGTTTAGTTTAGTCTTCCATGGTTGTCAAAATTTGAGGTGGAATTGTCAAATGTGTGACTGTAAAAAAATCATTAATGACGTAGTTAAAATAAAAGACATAAAAATGGTAAAACAACATTACAAGTTGTTAAAAGCTAAAAATAAATGATTGATATAAAATCACAGGTAAAGGGAACATAAATTTTCACTAGCGTTTGAAATACAAAAATAAAATCATATAAAATCATAATCAATTTTATTTATTAAACTCCTTAATTTGGTATACGAGTCTTTTGTAACTATGTGTAATTATGTTTGTTCCCCCAGCATCAAAACCTGGCTATGCTGGTTACACTGGCTATGCTGGTTACACTGGCTATGCTGGTTACACTAGCTGTTCTGGTTACACTAGCTGTTCTGGTTACACTGGCTATGCTGATTACACTGGCTATGCTGTTTACACTGGCCATGCTGGTTACACTGGCTGTTCTGGTTACACTGGCTATGCTGGTTACACTGGCTATGCTGGTTACACTGGCTATGCTGGTTACACTGGCTGTTCTGGTTACACTGGCTATGCTGGTTACACTGGCCATGCTGGTTACACTAGCTGTTCTGGTTACACTGGCTATACTAAGGCTCTGCTAATAATCATTAATTTTTTAGACATTGTTGATTACTACGTTAGATGGGTTTTGTCTGGCATGTATGGGTATAATGACATTAGTCTGTCCTGAACGTGTACGTCTGGCCTAGAGGGATATAGTCTGGCCTAGAGGGGCATTGTCTAAAATGGAAGGGTATAGTCTGGCTTAAGAGTTTTTAGATTGAAGTCATTCAACTTTCTCATTTAACTTACCTGAAAAAGATGAACCCCCAATAAAATGTCAAGATATGAAGTAATTGATGTTTATATCACTGTAGACTACCGATTTCAAGGGGGCTATAATCTGGCCTGGGGGATTTAATGTGGCCTGGGGGGTATATTCGGGCCAAAGCCAATTTAACCCTGGGCTTAATCTGGTCAGGGATATACTCTGGCCTTCTACACCAGTACTGAAAGTTTTTCACTGTAATATTTCAGCATTACCTCCCCTTTTATTGCTGATCTATTTTGCCCTTTAACTAACCTACTACAATACTACATTGTTACATTATTCAAATCTAAAGTTGAAATGTCAGAATGACATGTTGATCATTGTGATTTTAACAATGAAGTACACTCATGCAATTCTTAATCACCGGCTGATTAAACAACATAAAAAAATAACTTCTTAATGAGGGGCTTTCATGGAGTTTAACAAATAAATAAATAGTAATTTATGTAGTAATTACGGTTATAATCTAATTGTATTTATGAGTGGCTTGTGTTAAAATCTTCAGAAATATATTTTATTTATTAGCACTTGCATTTAAAGGAATAAAATAAGTGAAAATATTCAGGTCCGTTAAAAAAAAATAAATTATTAAATGAATTTTCATAATTGTCGTGTGTTTTGACAAATGTAAAAATAATGAAATAATTTTAAATTGACAGATGTGGTTCAAACTCAGCTCACTGCCATTTGATCCTGGAGTAGGATATGCTACCTGTGTGTTGGACAATCAACTGTACATGTCTGGAATCTCATTACGTAAGGCGTACGTGCTACGCTATGACCCTTGCACTAACTTATGGGAAGAGTGTTGTCAGATGCCAGAGAAGAGACGCTACCATGAGATGGTCGTGGCCTGTGGTCATGTCCACGCCGTATGCGGCTGGAACAAGAGAGACGGCGTGTTCACCAGCATCATACAGTACCACAGTTCAGAGGAGTCCTGGACCAGTCTGGGAAATCTGAGAGTTGGCGTCTACTCAGCGTCAGCGTGCGCCCTGGACAATATTATATATGTGTTTGGAGGAAGGGCAGATGACAGCACGCGCAAGCGAGACATTCAGTCTTTCAACGTCAACACCGGTCAAGCTACAGTTATTAATCAATTCCCTTCTGCTGTTACGGAAAGCCGTGCAATAGCTATAAATTCTTGCATGTACTTAGCTCTAACAAACGGTTCCATCATGAAGGTAATGGAGTCTGGTTCACTGTCACGGCACAGCATTCTCCCCAATTTTGACAGGTTCAACTTTGGACTTCTTCAACGAGGAAACAACATCTTAGTTGTTGGCGGTGACACAAGGTATCCATCTGGTTCTAGCCAGTTTGTTGACATTCTTGAAGTCAATGGACATGATGGAAAAGTGCGCGTACTTCAAGATCGCCTTTTTAACAATGCAAGCGCCGCAGCCTGTCGCATTCTTCTAATTCGGAGAGTTATTCTTCCGAGGTTGTCTGTCCCCGGTATCCCACACTAACAGGAAGTTTACTATAAAGATACATTTATTTATTGCTTTTATTTAGTTTTATCGATTCGTCCTTGTAAGTCTTCAGTCAAGTGTTTCCTGTAAACCAGTGGTTCCCAACCTTTTGACTTACTGAGCCTATTTTTAGATCCAATTTCTACAGGGGAATCACTTAGGTCTACCCTATGTCTTACAAGTTGATGGTGTTGAGTGTTTCCTGGAGCAGATGTGAAGCCCCTGAGTAGTCCTTGCAGATCTCTTAGGATTCAGCGTAGCACCGGTTGGGAACCCCTGCTGTAATACATTTCCACTCTTTAAAAAAAAACTGGGATAGTTAAATCATTTTTAACCAATCAGTTTTTGAAAGATTATTTTAATATTAATATGTAAAGTGTTATGTAAACAAAAGTTGTTGTGTTTTTGTCATTTAAATTCATTTTTTTAAAATTTAGAGACTGATGTTGAAACTTTAAAAAAATCTTTTGATTGTACTTACAAGAGAATTTATTAGTGTTTTACTTAATCTTACAAAATGTTTGAATGGTGTTTTTTTGTTTTTTTTCAGGAGTTTTCCCCATATTTAATGCTGATACTCTTTGACTCTCAGTTAGTTTTGTAATTCATGGTCTCATTTATTGAGGTCAAACAAAATACATTTTTATCAAACTGATAACCAGCAGTTGATATTGGATACAATATGAATTATTGTTAACTTTGAGGACTTTAAAAAGAAATAGACTTGGTAAAAAAAAAGAATAGTAATTCTTTTGGGGAGTTTTGTGCATGGTACAAATCAAAGAGTTGTCAGTCAGTGTAGCAGTGGTCTGTGTGTCAGTCAGTGTAGCAGTGGTCTGTGTGTCAGTGTAGCAGTGGTCTGTGTGTCCGTCAGTGTAGCAGTGGTCTGTGTGTCAGTCAGTGTAGAAGTGGTCTGTGTGTCAGTCAGTGTAGAAGTGGTCTGTGTGTCAGTCAGTGTAGCAGTGGTCTGTGTGTCAGTCAGTGTAACAGGGGTCTGTGTGTCAGTCAGTGTAGCAGTGGTCTGAGGGATTGTATATCTGCCATGATATGTCAACTATTGTACGTCTGCTATTGTTATGCCATTGTATGTCTCCCATGGTATGTCTGTTATTGTATGTCTACAATTGTACATCTGCTATTGTACAAGTACTATTGTATGACTGCTATTGTTTGTATGGTATTGTACATCTGCTATTGTATGTATGCTATTGTACATCTGCTATTGTATGTATGCTATTGTACGACTGCTGCTGTATGCATGGTATTGTATGTATGCTATTGCATGTATGCTATTGTACAACTGCTATTGTATGTATGCTGTTGCTATTTTATTCTATTGTATGTCATCATGCACACACACACACATGGAATGCACTGGATGTAGATTCGTGTTGATGTCATGGGATCTGTTTTTTCCCTTCATCTTATGTACGTATTCAACTAGTCTTCTGGTCAGATTACTCTAAAGCTTTAACTTGTCTTTGACCGCCATAATGAGACATGATTCACTCTTACCACCATCATAGACAATTAAATGATGATTTTAATTCAGTTTTGCTTCTTCTATTTGTAATGGAATATTATGAATGGTGTAGTCCAGTGTTTCCCAAAATTTTGTTGTGTGGCCCTGTTAATTGTATACTTGTCCTTCCTGAGCCAAAACAAGACAATAAGTGTGTAGTATAGTTTATTCTGGAAATATGCAACCTGCAACAGATTGGAATGTTGATAAAGTTATTTCTCATATATTTTAATGTAATGAAAAATTTACTGTTACAAAAATATCAAGAAATCAAACAGAAACTGTTCAATAATTTACTCATAAGAATTTATTTAATTTTCATGATGATTTTTTTAAAACTGATCCACTTTAAATGGAGGTGGAGTTTGTGATTGAAGAAAAAATCGAGAATGCAAAGGGCTCCTGAAGAAAATTGGGGGATGGAATTTTTTCATACATTCCAAATGCAGATATGCGATGGTGTAGAAATGCAGGTGTCCCATTTCTTGGTTATATCAATGGATCTGCCCCTGGTTAAAAGTAAACCAAAGATCACAGGTTCCACACCTTTTTGAGTGGAACTCTGATACATTTACATAAGAATTTTGATTCAGTTTAAAGAAATCACATCAAAAATAGATTATTCAGTGTTTAATTGAATATAATTTTAAGATAATTTAATTCAATAAATGAAATTGTAACACGTTACTAAGCTATAATAATGCTCATAATGTCTTTCTCAACTTTAATCTGTTTCTTGATTTGTTTATCAAATGAAGAAGTATTAAAAAGCCACACTGACCAAAGATGTATTATGATAATATTGAAACTTTAACTCACTAATCTCTGATGAAATGAATTTAAAATCATTTGTTTTAAAATATTGAGTTAACCATTGCAGCAGGTGACAGCACAGTAAACGACTCGTGACCCAACACGGGGTCCCAACGCTCGTGTTGGGAACCCATACTATAGAAAAGATTGTGTCAGAGGTTCCCAAACTTTGCCACGTGGCTTCCTCCCTCACAGGGTGCCACAAAGTGTAAATAAAAAAAAAATTTCATAATATTTTCGAAATGTTTTTATCACGTGACATCTTTCAGTCATAACTATTTCAGAAGTCTTTACAAATGGTCCCTTCATCATAAATGGCGCTTTTCAATGTTGATTGTTTGTGTAGATCTGGAACTCAATTGGTATGTCTACTTTGTGTTGGTGTGTCTACTTTGTGTTTGTCTACTTTGTGTTTGTATGTCTACTTTGTGTTTGTGTGTCTACTTTGTGTTTGTATGTCTACTTTGTGTTTGTGTGTCTACTTTGTGTTTGTGTGTCTACTTTGTGTTTGTGTGTCTACTTGGTGTTTGTGTGTCTACTTGGTGTTTGTGTGTCTACTTTATGTTTGTATGTCTACTTTGTGTTTGTGTGTCTACTTGGTGTTTGTGTGTCTACTTGGTGTTTGTATGTCTACTTTGTGTTTGTCTACTTTATGTTTGTATGTCTACTTTGTGTTTGTGTGCCTACTTGGTGTTTGTGTGTCTACTTGGTGTTTGTGTGTCTACTTTATGTTTGTATGTCTACTTTGTGTTTGTGTGTCTACTTGGTGTTTGTGTGTCTACTTTGTGTTTGTCTATAAATAGCTGATTATTTCAGGCTGTCATAGTGTTGAAATAGTTTTAGGAGAATATAAATAAACTAAATGTTGTGCTTAAACCTATTCAGATTATTGAAGCATGTCTTCTCGAGTGTAGTTGGAGCTTTGATTATTAAACAGCAGGCATGAAAATATAATTTAAAAAAAAAAAAAAAAATTCCTACTATTTTGCAGTGCACTTGGACTTGATTGAATTTGACATAGGGTGCCTTGGCAAAACTTGGATGCAGCAAGGGCCCAATAGCTCTAAAAGGTTTTGGAACCCCTTGACCATGTCAAATTACTTATTGAGCTATTTTCGTAGTTTCTCCATTATATGTTAATAGTGATATATAATAAAGTAGTATTTAAAGTTGATCCCCTAGCTTCACTCGCCATCCATCTATCTACCACCATCTGACACTCCTCTGTCCCAAGTGAATTATTATACCTCGTCTGCCCTACCTGTGAGATACGATCTGCGTCACAATTATTCTTTTCATCGTCCCTTCTAAAACCCCTCCCCTGCCCCCTCCCCTCCCAATTTCCAATCACGATGACCTGCCCCTATTAACCTCCCCATTCCCCCCCCCCCCCCCCCCCCCCCCCCCATGCCACAAACCGCCTGGCATATCAAACGATTTGTTTATCGGTTATTTACTTAAAAGCTCATAATTTCATGCATATAAGAATACATAAATATCCAAGTAGGCTTGCTTCAACATATGCCTAAATAAAAAGGCATATAATTTATCCGTTAAAAGGATTTTTAATAATTGTCAGCTCCAAGAATGACTGAATAAATGTGAGACACGTCAAGATAGCGGGAGTAATACTTTCACATACATGATGTACGTCTAAATAGCCATCACCTTTTCATCCTTATGACATGATCTTCCACTTGGAATTTGAGTAGCATCATAATAATAATACGTCTCGGTTTTGTTAAAACGAAGCTTTAGCCTTTAATGGAGCAAAGTTATCTATGTTCGCATAAGCAGAACTGCAATTTTCGTCGACTGGATTCCGGTCGAGACCGAGGGAAATTCATTATTCTCTCTCCGACACTGGCGACAGCAGCTGTTTTCAGTTGTCCACGACTCTCACCGCAATTTACAAACTGTAACAATTGACTTGTACTTGTGTACTAGGCTGTTGTTTAAGTATGACTTACGTAAACAGTGTTGAGTTTAACAATATTAGTGAAATTAAGCTTTTTCCGAATAGAATATCATCGTACAAAATGTACAAAAATACAAAAAGAATAGCAGCTATGCCGCGGGGTGACCCGTGGCGTACCGGGTCCCTTAAGTTTTAGTCTTTAGACTAAATCCCATTCCGAAGTCATTTGTGGTGTTTATTTTAGTTAAACTGAAGAAGTAAGTGTAGTCCATTCAAGTATCTTTCATTTGATATCTCATTTTGTCTTACAAACCCAACAATACTATTTTAAATAGTTTTTTAATCCCAACCTTTCACTTCTGATACCCGGGTGCGAGTAGCCACTTCGAAAAGTATAAAGTCTAACAATATAGCTAAATCTTAATCAGAGTCAGAGCCATCATTAGTGGGCCCTGCAGGGATCCTAGCACATTTATGGGGCACACACAAATTGGTTAAATTTACAAGTTTGACCTGCTCCGAGCGGCCCTAATCCTAGCTACACCACTGCTCAAAAAGAACCCTAAAAAGATCAAAATTTTGCTTGAATTTATTAATTAAAATGGCTTGCTGATTAGAAATTATATTCAAATGATAAAACTGCATGTTAGAGATTTTGGTAGACTTTTAGATGACAGAAACAGGATAGTCCAGGGTAGGGATCATGATTACATTTTGCCATTAATGGATTTGAGGCGAGTAGTAGCAACCCTATGCTGATTATTCTATTTACATAGTGATTGAGGAAGCTGTTCTTAGGCAACCATTTTGTCCCAGCTGCTTCATAAATTAATTGCGAGGTAGAAACCCACTGTAGAAATCCCAGTTTGAGGGTCTCTGGCGCTTCCCCGGTATGGGAGGGGGAAGATTTTAGGACATAAATATACCATTCCAATCCCTGGGAAAGTTGAGTGCTGACACTGTGAGAGCAGCGTCACCTGCTGACAGGGTGTCCTTTGGCTGGGGTGGCCTTTTTTGTACCCGTTGAGTGGTCCTGGCGGGGGCTGCCCTGGCCAAGGGAAATCAAAGTGCTGCTTCACAGCCCTATACTTGAGCTTGGAGGGCAAGCTGTGCTTTGGGGAGGGCATAAAAAGCTTGGTACTAGCTCGACGTCTGGCTGATGCCATTTGCTAATGTACAGTTTCATTAGACTTTTTAAGAAAGAAAAAGTCTAAAAATTGTGTCATCTCATACCAACTGGCATGTGAGAATTGCTGTTAATACCAAATTTTATTGTTGTACTTCAGCAACACACTATTTTGAGCTTTATATCTTGAAAATGATTGCTTGATATTAAATTGGTTAAAAGGCTATTTTATCACATTGGTTAAATAGATGTAAAGTCTATTTTCATTGGGTCTACTTAGCTTAATCTAATGTCAAATAAAATCACAACAAAAATGTAATATTCCTAATGCACTTACTGGCCTTAGTCTAGAGCTATATTACTTAAAAGCCTATAAATGATTTCATGCTACTTTGGCCAATTTTTTTACACCCCAACCCCAAATTCGTGCCCACCCCCCCCCCCCCCCCCCCCCCCTCCCCCCCCCGACTGTTTTCCTTCCTTTCCTGTCAATTTTTTTTTTGTTACACTTAAACGCCACCTTCAGTTAAGTTCACTTCTGACCAGGTTTGTGGAACCGACTGTTAGGCTGAGCACAGACATTTTGTAATCCAATCATAACATCTATATTTGGAATGAATTTTTTTGCCAATTAGTCACTGATCTGTTCTATTATTTTTGACTTCCCACACCCCTTTCACTTCCACCTTCTCCCTAAACTTCACACTTCCTCTAAACTTCCCACCTCTCCCTAAACTTCCCACCTTTCCCAAAACTTCCCACCTAACTTTAAACTTCCCACCTCCCCCTAAACTTCCCACCTCTCCCTAAACTTCCCATCTCTCCCTAAACTTCCCACCTCACTCTAAACTTCCCACCTAACTCTAAACTTCCCACCTCTCCCTAAACTTACCACCTAACTCTAAACTTCCCACCTCCCCCTAAACTTCCCACCTCTCCCTAAACTTCCCACTTAACTCTAAACTTCCCACCTCTCTCTAAACTTCCCGCCTCTCCCTAAACTTCCCACCTCTCCATAAACTTCCCACCTAACTCTAAACTTCCCACCTCCCCTAAACTTTCCACCTCTCCCTAAACTTCCCACCTAACTCTAAACTTCCCACCTCTACCTAAACTTCCCACTTCTCCCTAAACTTCCCACTTCTCCCTAAACTTCATACCTCCCTTAAACTTTCAACCTCCCAATAAACTTCCAACCTCCCCTTAAACTTCCCAACTCCCAACACTTTCCAACTCTACCTAAACTTCCCACCTCCCCCTAAACTTCCCACTTGTTC